ACATACACCACATACATACATATAGAATGTCAACGTTAGTGCTCTATATTGCAATGCATGTCAATATAACAATATAATATATAGTTATGAATTTTAATATAAATAAATAATAATATATCACAATTGTATCTGTAAATTTCCGATTCGCAAGACCATCTTAAGATCAAGGAAAAGATAAAAAATAGATATATATATGTAAGTATCAAGAAATGTATATTTTCTCACATTTCCAACCAAAGTTAAATAGCAGGTTTACAATAAGTGCTATTTTACTATCGATGGCATTACTGTAATTATTAACTTCTTAGAGTCTTATTAAAATAATGAAGATGACACTTATAATCTTCATACTGTTTGTTGTGTATTTCATCAATTTGGCCTAATTCCTATTCATTGGAAAAGTGAATACATTTATAATCGACAAGTTTTATATGATTTTAATGATTTTTTGCTCTGTTATAAATCGGTATTAGTTCAGAGGAGATTTAATTGTAAAAATAAGCAAATTAATAAGCTTATTTTAAAGTTTTTTTTTAATTTTCTCCAAGAAAACTAAAATAAGTTACAAGGATTAGTGTTATCATTAACTGTAATAAATAGAGCGAAATAATTATTACATAAAAAGAAAGAGTAAATTGCAGAAAATTGAATTACTTTTTGAATTCATTTTTATCATAATACACATATATTCTGATTATAAAACATGTATAAATCCATTGTTTTGTAAAGTTAAATTTATAGATTCATCCCTCACTTCCTTCTCTCTTGTGCTATTTGTAATGTCATTATAATTTTTTTATAAGAAACGGTCTATATAAAATATATTTTTATAAGTAAATTATTAGTCAATGTATAATATATAAAAAATGTAATTATATTGCTTATATTATAAAATAAGGATTAATGAAATTATTTGCACACGTATATGTGTATATGTATATATATATATATATATATATACACATACACCACATACATACATATAGAATGTCAACGTTAGTGCTCTATATTGCAATGCATGTCAATATAACAATATAATATATAGTTATGAATTTTAATATAAATAAATAATAATATATCACAATTGTATCTGTAAATTTCCGATTCGCAAGACCATCTTAAGATCAAGGAAAAGATAAAAAATAGATATATATATGTAAGTATCAAGAAATGTATATTTTCTCACATTTCCAACCAAAGTTAAATAGCAGGTTTACAATAAGTGCTATTTTACTATCGATGGCATTACTGTAATTATTAACTTCTTAGAGTCTTATTAAAATAATGAAGATGACACTTATAATCTTCATACTGTTTGTTGTGTATTTCATCAATTTGGCCTAATTCCTATTCATTGGAAAAGTGAATACATTTATAATCGACAAGTTTTATATGATTTTAATGATTTTTTGCTCTGTTATAAATCGGTATTAGTTCAGAGGAGATTTAATTGTAAAAATAAGCAAATTAATAAGCTTATTTTAAAGTTTTTTTTAAATTTTCTCCAAGAAAACTAAAATAAGTTACAAGGATTAGTGTTATCATTAACTGTAATAAATAGAGCGAAATAATTATTACATAAAAAGAAAGAGTAAATTGCAGAAAATTGAATTACTTTTTGAATTCATTTTTATCATAATACACATATATTCTGATTATAAAACATGTATAAATCCATTGTTTTGTAAAGTTAAATTTATAGATTCATCCCTCACTTCCTTCTCTCTTGTGCTATTTGTAATGTCATTATAATTTTTTTATAAGAAACGGTCTATATAAAATATATTTTTATAAGTAAATTATTAGTCAATGTATAATATATAAAAAATGTAATTATATTGCTTATATTATAAAATAAGGATTAATGAAATTATATGAAATTACTTCATTTTTTATAAATAAAATTGATTTGTTATATAGTATGTATATCTATATATTTCTTATTGCTTAGAGTTTTTCTTATATGAGAGAAATGTATCATATAGTATATAGTGGGGTTTGATAATGCGAATGGCACTCATTTATAATTAAGGTTTTGTCAATATGTGTATGTGTGTGAACATAGTTATATATTAAATAAATATTATTTTGTGTGTGTGTGAAAATGTTGCAATGTATTATGTGCAAAAGTAAAAAACAGAAAAATCATTTTAGTTACATAACAAGATTGTATACATTGGTCCCTGAAAGAAAAGAGTAATCAAACATATATATATCGAAAAACAAATGGCACTACATTGAATTTCTTAGTTTTTAGGCTCAATATATTGTAAATTTTTTTCTGTTACATAACAAAATTAGCGTCAAAGCTAAGAACTGTATTCATAAATGCTCTGCTCAAATATATGTGTATGTATTTTTCGGAATTTTACTTTGTGAATAAATAAACAATAATGCAAAAACAATAACTTTGAATACAGATCTTTGCTACATTAATTATCATAAGTAATGAATAATCTATCCACTTGTTTTTAACTTATTATCTTTATCAACCACTAGATGCAAATATCAATATATTACAGGATATCATATTTTTTCTTCAGCATCACATATAATTTTCTAAAGCTCTTAATAAATAAAGCACTAATCTCTCTTTGGTATGAGACTCAAGTGATGATGGTGAAAAACGTAATAAATAGCTTATATCAACATTATAAATGGCTTCTTCTAATGTTGTAAGTTTGTAGAATTTGCTATAATTAAAAGGCAATGCTAATCGACACCCTGATTAATTATAAAGTCTCTTTATATAAGATTATAGATTATAATTTTCATAATCCATTTAAATTTTTATTCTGATTTTGTGCTCAATTAGGAAGCAGCTTGTCACGGTATAGCGTTAATTACACTCTATGATCATAATCGATATTACAAGTAAATAATTTATTTGGATTATGAAATGAACATGCAACACCATATGCAGTTTCACTTGCTGCATATCTACTTCTTATTGAATATATTTGTATAAACGATCATGTTTTCTTGTATATATTAAAAATAAGTTAACACATAAGACTATCGTCTCATTGTTAACAAATATGAATGACTTATATAAATACAGTAACTCACATAAATTTTTTTTTACCACTAGATCACAATGGCTTGGTAATATTTAAATAATATAACTATGTTGTGGTTATATAAACTATATAACTACTCATAATTATTTCATAAAAATCTCGGATTTCTGAAATAAGTTAGAATATTGTATCAGAGATGTGCAAAAAGTTAATCGCTTTTGTTATATTTAATGCATTAATCATTCATATTATATTATTAGCACAAATTCATTCAAAAATTGCCAGTATAAAATGTAAAAAGTTCCCAAAGTTTTCATTACAATTAAAGCTACATGTGTGTATACGTTTCATATCAAAATCTATAAAAATATGTATTTGTCACAAATATATATGTCCAAAGTCATATGATAATAAAGTTTTAGGTCGAAAACATGGACATTACTCTAGCATATTATGCGTTATGTAATGGATGTTACAGCAAGCATGTGAAATGTAATCAAATAATATTTAAAAGTTCGAAAAAATAAGCTCATTTAGAGTGAACAGTCGTTAAAAGCAAATTTTGCAATTTTTATCTTTATAAGCGCAAATTCTATTTGATTCATGATAATGTTATAAAAACATTGAATTTTTCGAATAAAGCGCGAAGCTCTATATTAGAACTGTATACTAGAATAAAAATAAGGCAATGACATTGATATATATTAGTTTATCACTCATCATTATAGTCTTTGTCAAATATGCACTGCAAAATTATAAAATGCTGTTAAATCCATATTAATTTTTGAATCTTTTTGTCAATAACATTGCTCGCTCTCAATACGAATAATGTAACACTTTCTGTTCTACTGTTAAATATTTCGTACATGGTAATAGCGTATACTAAACTCGCTTATCCTAAATCGCGAAAGAAAGGCACAAAGAAATATATTAGAATGCTAAATCTAAGAGAATGGTAACTCTTCTAAAGATCAACGATACAGAAATAAACGTGAATAACAGGAAAACGCGCGTATTATAAACGTGGATGGACACTTGTTATGCTCACAACTCTCGGCAAGATCGATAAGACATCTGCAGGATTTTACGTTACGTTACGCAGACGACGAATCCTCGATATGTGAGGTTTCGACATCGTTAGAAGAAAGAACGATCTTATGCAAACTATTAATCGGTCTTTTCGGTTTCGGTGGAGGCGTCGGCGGTTTATTAGAATGACTGTCTAAATCATCATCAGTAGGTGTCGGCAACTTATTCTTCCACAATCCTGAAGATTTGTTTAGATTATTCAAAGTACTACTAGCTAGACACTGATCAGAGGACAGCTCCTCCGGAAGATTACAATAATCGGCCTCGCGCATTTTAATCGGCAGAGGTGGCGGCGGATCGTCCTCGGATGCTGTACTGTCGGTCGTGCCGACGCTATCTCTATTTCCCTTTCCCAAATTGCTAGGTTCCAATTCGTTATTAATGTTCCTTAGGTAGTGCTGGGATTGTCCGGACCAACGATTACTCATTCTACGTTCTTTCTCCGCTTCCGATCTCAGGGGACGTTTTGGTGTGAGCTATGCAAACAGGCGCGTATATCCCTATTTTAATATTACAAAAAAT